CGTTTTGTTTCTTTTCACACTGGCCTTAAAGAGGATATATTAGAAGCTGAAAAGGAACTGAAGGGTGCGAAGCAGGCCGATGGCGCAAAGGGTATGTATTTTTTTCCCTTGATTTCCCAGTAAAGTAATATCCAGACAGGGATCTTAAGGATACTATGGGCAAGGAGTTTGTATTCTCTCGGAAATACATGACAGATAGTGAGTTAAGTACCGCATTAAACCTATTATTATTTTTGAGAGGACTAAATTTTAACTGCTTAGTTCCTCCCTATAAAGAGGTGTGAGATACAAAGTGGTTAATTCTGTATATTAAAACTACTGATAACTTAGTGGGGGAAAAACACTAACTTCCTGCACACTTGAGACTTATTGCAAGGACTTTTAATATTTAGTTTATATTTCTACCAAATTAGGATTTAAATTGGTACATCAGTGCCTTTGGTCCTTTACTTTACTAACAATGCATTCATAATTAACTTTAAAACTTTTAAAACATTGCTATTAAGATGGGATTCAGAATAATCGGTAGATTCCACTCTAGTTATTGTTTTGAACTAATTTTCCATATGGAAAATGACTTGAGAGAAGCAATTCCATGCATGGGTACCCCAAACTACCATTTGTATTATTTATTCTATGACATGGAACTTTCCTAACCCCAGAAAAAGTTAATCAGTTTAGGGAGACAGTGACTTTTTTTTTTAAGCCAGGATTGCATTTAAAAGCACATTCAACTTTTAAATATGTTTCTTGGGATTTTTTAAAAATTATTATTATTATTTGCAATGCCCCTTTTGTAGACTGTGGCTGGAGAAAGAAGCTTGCCTTCACCATTTCTATTATATTTACTTTTATAATCCAAACAGCTGCCAAGGCTTTCTCCAGTTTTCTAATATCTTTATATTTGTCTTGAATAAAATGAAATGGCAATTCCCCACCAGCCCCAAAGTTTAACCTGAAGACGAATTCCGGTGTTGAACTCCTAGTATTAAGGAGCAAACATGCTTTAAGTTGAGCCGAGTTTCTCAAATCTGATGGAGCAGGAAGCTGAGCAGATAATTTTTTTTCCAAGCAGTCATTGTCAATGCTGAAGAGTCCTAAATAACATATTAAAATGAATCTCTTCCCCACCCCAGCTCTGGGACAGAAAACAGCCTGGCTTTAGCTTGGTCGCCCACATGCTTGATGGTTGTGCCTCTGACTTTTGAAAAGCAGGGAAGTTCAGAGCAGGAATAAACTGAAATGAATTCAGCACTCTGACTGTTCTCCCTTCTGCCACTTACAAAAAAGACTGACTTCTGCGCTTTCCCCTTGAAAAAAGAAATAGAAAGAAATTACCCCCTTCCCCAGCCTGCGTGAACTGGTGATCCTAAACGAGAGCTTTCTATTTTTGTGCACCGTACCTTGAAAGTATCTTTTCCAACATCAGGGAAGGTCCTTCACTCGGAGCTGCTGGCAGGCACCACCACCAGGGAAACCACTTAAAAATAAAGGGAGGACTGTCTTAATGCACGTGTTAAGAATAGGTGTCCTTATTTTAACTTTTGCTGGGGAAACATAACCGAGGGAGGCAGCTTTTCAGTGTGTATTTCTGAGGCGCTGGGCTACGAGAAGCCCGAGGGCCGTCTGTTTAACTTTTTCCTTTCCGTAAAGATGCTGGAGCCCCAGAAGGAACGTCCATTGGAAGGCCTGCTAGATCTTTAATGGGGAGTCTGGGTTTGAGCGGGAGGGAAAGGGGGGGGGGAAGAAATCACCAGTGCTCCTTTTTACTTTTCTGAATTTTAAGGACAAGGCCTCCCTGGTGTCTTATATTGTGCCTTCTCCCTTTTGCCTTCCGAAATGTTTGATCTCTAAACCCCCTAACCGGGCACACATAAAGGTCCCTCCAGTTCCTCCCAGTCGCTGCTTCCTCTTCTCTCCCTTGCTCCCATTTAAAGCACACTCCAAAGGGACTGGCCTTCTTTCTGACCCTTTTCTTTTCCCTCCTGTCTGTTATGCAGTACGACGATTTACCCCATTACGGTGGGATGGATGGAGTGGGGATCCCGAGCACCATGTACGGGGACCCCCATGCCGCCAGATCCATGCAGCCCGTCCACCACCTGAATCATGGTCCTCCGCTTCACTCCCATCAATACCCGCACACAGCTCACACCAACGCCATGCCCCCAAGCATGGGCTCCTCTGTCAATGACGCTTTAAAGAGAGATAAAGATGCCATTTATGGGTAGGTACAGCCAGCATCAGGTTTATTAGCTGAAAGACGGGCGCATTTCCCCCAACCCGTTTCTTCCCTTCCTGGATGGTGGCCGTATGAAAGCTTGTGTTTCTTCCTCTCACAGCTCCTGGGTAGGTGGAAGGCTGAGAGATCCCCAGCTTTGCAAGGGGGAAAGGGGACGCCGGGTTGGATTGTTCAGCTGGCTGTGTGTTGTTGTTGTTGTTTTGCCAGTCTTCTGGGATCGAGAAATAATACTGATTGTGATGATACTCCCAGAAATAACTTTTGAAAGAAACATTCAAAGAGCAGGAGCCACTTTGCAAAATTTAGACTCCTCCTTCGCAGAAATTCAGATGCATAGTGATTGCATGCTGTTTTGTACCTAGCGTTGGAGCTTAAAAAAAGGGGTGAGATTCTGTGCGTGTTTATATATATGGGTTTGCAACTTTCAGATATATCTTGTGAGGGGGGGCGGGGTTGAGAGGATTCTTCTGTTATTTTGATTGCAACTTTTTTGGGAAAAGGTGGAAAGCCTTCTAAAGAGTCCAGGCTTTGAAGGAAAGGAACAATGAAAAAGGAGGAAAGAAAATATGCCTATATTTCGGCAGGAGAAATAAAATGAAATCAGTGGGATTTGTTTGAAAGTAAATCCTTCCCATATTAAATGGGAAATAAGTACTGTAATACTTTATCCCTTTCTACAATAAAAATAAAGTTTCTTAAAAGCAATGAGCAAAACTGTTTTGAGGTCTAATATGTTGTTTAAAAGAATAACATCACGGATGGTTTCAGCTCCCCCACCCCCAGTCTTTCCAGCGTGGGAATTTTAAAAATAGTTTTAAGGTGGTGAGGTTTGATTTGTTTCGCCCGTATAGCTGCAAATGGATTCAAACCCTTCCAATTGTAATTGATTTATGTTTTAAAAAAGAATGGTTGGGAAAGAATGGTCGGTTTTTAATTTAATTTTATATTTTTAACCAAGAACAACCAAACTTTATCCATCTTAAATCCATGGTAGTGGCTATTTCTTTCAACTCTGGAGCCCCCAATAGGTTTAGAAGCGATGTAAAAGAAGTGCGGGGGTGAAGAGTGAAGAGGAAAGAGGGCGTGAGGTTGATCTACCTAAGGAATTACTTTAAAAAGTATTAAAAAGGGGGAGCTTCCTCGGTTCCCCATTGCGCTTTTATCATAGTGCAGTATCCGACGAGGGTCCATGTGTACGTGTGAAAGAGGACACCGTGGTCTAACGGGAGAGGAAAGAGTGGTGATCTACGGAGTTGTATCTCTGACGCATACACATATGCACGCACACCAAGCCTGGATTAACCGAAGGGGAATCAGTGGCCATTCAAATGCGCCGAGGAACTCTTTCCTCAACCCACAAATAATTGAAAATAAAAACGGAACCCAGCCCCCGGGTCCGTGGTCTGTAGCAGCCCATTCAGTTACCCCTACCCGAGAGCCAAACTTTATAGTTTAAAGTGTGGGGGGGAATAGGGGAATGTTAATTCAAAATAGCTGCTAGCTCTGGGATTGGTTTTTAATTTAGCTAATGTTAATAAGTCCTCTGGTCAGCATTTGCTTTTTTAAAATGGCTCATCTCCGCGGTGCCGGGCCTGGAGGTTTGGGTCTGAAATATCGCAAAGGGAACCGTGATTTGGCGAAGAGGAGGCAAAATAAGAGCGGGGGGGGGGAAGGGAGGGAAGAGAAAGCTGCGATAAAGTTCACTTTGGTGGGCTCTGCTCTCCCCCAGCCAGCCAGCCACCCACCCACGCACTGCCAAACTTCGGATCTGTTGTACTCGTTGTCCGCTGCCGGTTTTGTTTTGTTTTGGTGACTCTTCTGTTTCTCTTTCAGACACCCCCTCTTCCCACTCTTAGCACTGATTTTCGAGAAATGTGAATTAGCGACGTGCACTCCCCGGGAACCCGGGGTAGCGGGAGGCGACGTTTGCTCCTCGGAGTCTTTCAACGAAGACATAGCCGTGTTCGCCAAACAGGTCAGAGAACGAGGGGATCCGTCGCACTTTCATCCTCAGCGAGGATCAAAATGCATGTTGAAGGTGGTGAGGATGATTCCCTCTCCACGTCCTCCGCACCCATCCCCCTCTGGAATGGTTTGCGGGGCGAGGAAGGGAGCCCTGGCTCCCAGGTTCCTCCGCATTCTCGCCTTGGATGCCAGCCTCAAGGGTTCGGTTCCCGGACTCCCAGCGCTTAGCCGGCCGCCACCTCCTCGAGAGGCTGACTTAAGGTGGCGCGGTGCCGGAGACTTC